CCAGTAGGACCATACGTTGAAAATGTGGAATAGAGTTATAAATGGGTAAGACTACAGCACATTTGAAACTAAGTGCAAAACCCTTAAATCAGAAGAAAAGAAATTCAAGGGACAATGTGGTGTAAAGGAATAACATGATCTTAGTCAAAGCTTCATAAGAGGCCACTAGGAAATTCCAGGATTGTAAGTTGGAGTAGAAAAGAAAAAAGGTCTTCAGAAGAAAGCAAACCACTTCTGAATTGTGGCCACTTTTACCGTTAAACCAGGAAAAGTCAAGAGTCAAAGAAAAATTGGCTCTGTTTCAGTCCACGTTACTGGTTATTACCTATAAAGTAAGTTCCTTGCTTAGAGTTGGGTGTTCTCTAAATTTAATTAATTAAATAAATAAATGTTAAAAAATCAGTATCAAAATTAAAATAGTTTTTCATATGTCTTTGGGAAGGGGTCTGCTTGAACTTTCCTCTCAGAGCATCGTTCAGCTGAAAAGATATAATCAGAATTAAACCAATTGCTACAAATAATATGTTTTTAATCACACTTACCAGGAGCAGAAATACAGTATCCATTGGCACCAGGGCTACTGTGGACCATGAAATGAACCCCATAGCTTTCAAACATAAATTAAGATTAACATATTTTTGAATGATAGTTTATTTCATGAGTTCAGGGTTCTCATGTAAGAACTTTGAGATATGATACAAGAACACTAACATCTCTCAAGCTGTTACCCAAGTCTTACAAGACCTGAATGTTAATTGTTGAAATCTTGCATTATTTTTTTTTTTTAAAAAATCTGTTTTGGTCATTGCATTAGATCAAGCAATTATGCCCAGAATCTGAAAAACTGCCTCATAGCTTCAGTCTGATAACAAACATTGAGGAATGATGTTTTTAAATTTGTTATGCCTTTAGTATCTGTTAACTAAATATCATGTTTTTCTCCTTTCCTAATACTGCTTTCAGTTAAGGCAGTCTATAACTTTAGCCAATTACTCCTTAACTGACCTTGGCAATTTATCCACCTTGGCTGCACTATAGGCTTCTGCTAGGCAGACAGAAAAATACAAAGAAGAAGTAATTATTTTATACCAGTTATATCGTGCACGTACTGAACTTCAAATTATAATCAGGCCATTAGTGACCCCAGGCCTCAAATTTACCAATGAGAGTGTTGTAAGTGAACTTGCCCATCTCACTGCTCATTTTATCTTCACTGCTTATCTCAGTTTGAAGCAAAGCGTCTTTCCATTGGACTTGAGAAATTCCCTTCCCGTCTGCCTAGCAAGGAGAGAAACAGAAAGAGGGACGAACCACTTCAGAGTTTTCTTCAGCTGGATGGTCCATCTCACCTTAGGGCCATTACAATACAGTTAACTGCTCTGTGGGAAAGATCCTGTTCATGGCTTGTTTTTAAAAGATATATACTGTTCATAAGTAATTTACAATGTTAAGAAAGGTTGCAAATGCATAATCAATGGCAGATCTGATTATGCCATCAGCAACTTGGTTTTCCATAGTGCTGAAAGCTTTCAACTTCTGATTATACTATATCAACTTTAGCATGTGGCAATTGTCTGATAATCACCTGTTTGGTAATAATTATAGTAATTGTGACCACATATATTTGTATAACACCAGATATAGTATTTTGCAGAGTTTGCAAAATGAGGATCTTCTATCCCAGGAGCCTACAAACAAATATTCTTCCCATCAGGTTGCAAGGCCCGAGTCTGCTGGCAAAGAAATATCCAAGGTAGAATCCTGGACTAGAATCACAGTGTGAAGCTGTGGGCTGTACTGCTGATCCAGTACTGCAGGTTCCCTCCAGGAACTTCCCTGGGCTTCTCCTACAGGTGCTCTCCAGATATGTAGAAATCCTATCTTTATGGGATGGCAAACTGCCTGGGTAATTAAGGAGACCCAAACCACATGGTGTGATAACTTCTTCATATGGGACTCTCAAGGCACTTCAGGTTCCAGAGAACTTACTGCCTTGGCAGGACCCTATGACCAAGTTTTGTTAGTAAAAAGTTATGTGGAGTCCTTGGTGCTCTCTGAGTTTGTTTGATTGCAGGCGTTTCACTACCCAACTAGATAATATCTTCAGTGCTAGTGAGTGTGGGGTTTGCTCTCTGCTTATATACAGTAGCTTGCCCTGTCAGTGTTGGTGGGGGTGTGGTTTTCTCCTTGGTAGTTTCTTCATTAGAATATTGTTTTCTGCTTGTTTGTCTGATGTTAATCCCTGCTTATCTGGGTGTAGGCTGCTAGAGACAATGCGTTCTGGTCTTTTTGTTTCCTTCTTAGCTTTCTTATTGTCTCTTTTGAATGATGTGCAAATGTGGTTTATCTCTATGTGTCTATTGATGGCTGA